CTTCCTTCCTTCCTTCCTTCCTTCCTTCCTTCCTTCCTTCCTTCCTTCTTTTTTTTCTTGAACTCAATTGGATGAAATTGGAAGGTATAGGACAACAATTATTGAATCAAGATAATTAAAATGGATTAACTTACAGAATGCTGTGACCCATGACTCTTATGGGAATGAAATTGGGGAAAGTTGTGGCCGCTTCAGCTCCCCCACTCCTGACTGCACTTTCCAGAAACCTAGGTTATGTGGTGCAAAGGAAGATGGGAGGGCTGTGTGCCCGTCCTTTCCTGCCTCCTTCTGGCTCCTTCACTCATTCAGCTAGCAGAAATGGGGCACAAATTGTCTAGTAAAGCTTTAACACATTAATGTGTTGCCAATTGGTTTTATAGTTAGTGTTTCCTTGCATTGTGTTTGCTCTTTTGTGAGATTAAATTGTTTTTCTAAACAACAGGCATCACTTTTTTTCTTTAACCCCTTCAACCAGGGAAAAACACGGAGCAGCAGTCATTACCATGTTATTGTAGTTTCCCATCATTCCACATCACTATCTACTCTCTTCCAAGAAACTTCATTATTTTTGATAATGAGCATATTGTTTAGAATATTTGTATTTATTGTCCATGATGCTTCCTACCACTAAGTTTTGTTTACCTAAAAAACAATTATATCTCTTGTTGCGAGTGCTATAGTCCCGTCAGCGAACCATATTTATGGGGAACCCTGCAGTATAAGTGTGTGTCAGTCAGTTGTTCCGTAGACTGCTAGAGAGTGTAGGAACGTATTTGCTTTCCTGCTGCTCATGACATTTGGACATCTGAAGCATGGTGGATGGGAAGAAAGGGAAAAACTTTCATTATATGTGATGATACCCAGTAATGTTTAAGCTCATATAAAGAAAATAAGCCATCAAAAAACTAGAGAGGTCAGAAGCAGCTTCAGAGTTCAGCAAGAAGAGAAGGTGAAAAAGTTGGGTACGTATCATATTATGGAACCATACCTTACTATAGTTGCAAAGCAAAATATTTAGATGGTGTAAAGAAAGGAATTTTTCCAGTATAATTGAAAATTGGTTGGCGATATTTAAACCTGAGAAATTAATGACTTGTGACCTGTAAAACTGAAACTGAGTTGATTGAAACAAGGCAGATCCTTTTGTAATATTTGAGACTAATTTAAAATGTGTCTTGTAAACTTTAATTATAACCGATTTAACAAGATTGAATGACTAACATTTTGTTAAAAGTGACAAGAACAATTCTATTATTCTCAATTATTTAACATGTTGGTAATTTGGAATTTCAGCATTAGATATACAGGTATATTTTGTCTTATACCATTTCATAACACTGTTGATGAACTATTTTCCTTTGAAATAATTTATTAAATAATTTATTAAATCTGTTAAATAACCCCTTACCGTAACATTTCTAATGGATTGGTCTCATGTACTTGATTGCCACATCTGGGGCAATCATTGCTGTCTTCAAAGTGTTGCACAATACAACTCTTGCAGACTGCAAAATCAGATAAGATGTGTTTTAGGAAAATATGTAAATAATAATTGCAAACTACTGATTTTTTTAAGGAAGTCTAATATCCCAAGATCTACTAGAAAATATATCTTGATTTTCCACATGTTATTTGACAACCCAAATACTTGAGCTTGGAGATTCAAGACCTTCCTGGCAATGAAGTTTTAAAGCACTGAAGATTGTCAAATCAAGTTATGAAAGAATTATGCCTGAATTAGCACTGGACAGTTTATGTGATTATTATGTCTATTTTTATAGCGTTAAATATTGAATCTCATGCTTTCATATAATATCCTTGGAGGAGAAGGAAGTACCCTGAATACCTGTATGTTTTACAATGGCTGTTGTTAACATGTGAGGGAGAGATATTTTAAAAATACTCACAAATGTACCCTTTTCATTTACCGTATGTCTCCCACATTCCATTTTCTGCTGATGTTTCCTAGAACATCTGGATCCACACAGATCCTCTATGTCTCTTGCTATCATATCTGTTTGTTCTACTGGTTAAAGTACCAGGCTAAAAACCAGGTATGAAAGCCGTGACAGCCAGCTGTGGTGACTTTGGGCCAACTTTTCGGCCCAATCAGGGATAGGTTCCAACTTCTACTGCCGGTTCACGCAGGGACGTGCTTCGAGCGCACACAGTAGGTAAAAAAAATGCTTCTGCGCATGGCCAGCTGAGTTATTACCTACTCAGCCAAACTGGTCCAAGCCCAATGTACCCCACAGCACTGTTGTGTGGGGAAAATAAGAAGAGGAAGCAGCATTATATATGTTCACTGCTTTGAGTTACTTATAAAGTAATAAAGATGGGATAAAACTATAATAAACAACAAAATAAATAAATGTAGGATAAAATAAATAGATAAATAAAACTATGGTCCTAATATTAAAACTCCCTTCATGGTTTCCAACTCCTTTCTATTAATTAATAATTCAAGCATATCTTCTATGTGACAGGCAATGTATACCGAAATACATTCTAGAACAGGGGTCCCCAACCTTGGCAACTTTAAGCCTGGCGGACTTCAACTCCCAGAATTCCCTAGCCAGCTCTGCTCTGCTGGCTGGGGAATTCTGGGAGTTCCGCCAGGCTTAAATTTGCCAAGGTTGGAGACCCATGTTCTAGTAAATATTAAACATCAATGGCTTCTAAACCACGAGCCTTAATCTAACAACTGCAAAAGCATTAATTAATTAATGAGCATTAATTAAAATAGGGGGGAAAGGATGACTCAGAAATCCCTACTTACAAGTATGGAGGCACTCAGTGACGGTAGTTGGCTTGATCAAATACCCTTTACAGATGCAGCAGGTGATATATGGGTTGAAATCTTTCACAGAGTGCTTTCTCTGGGTAGCCATTTGTGGTACTGGCAGGCAGAATAAAGTGATCAGACTTGAGATGTGGATTTTGGAAGGCAAGAGATTCGGGATCACAGGAGCTGAGGCGCTGCTGGCTGCAGCTGGGCATCTCCCAGCATTGGAGCAGGATCTGGATTCTCAAGGGGTGACAATGCTGAACTCCATTTTCCTTTTAGCGTTAGACATCTTTCAGCCCTGAAACAAACAAGCCAAGGAAACAAATAAATTCCAGGAAATGAGAGACACATACAAAGGAGGAATTGGTTATGCTTCCCCACCCCTTCCCCGACCTTTTCCTGCTCATTAAAACAAGAAGAATGTTGCCTGCAAGAGTTTGTAGTGAAAAGTAGAGGAGAAACGGGAAAAAAGAACATAAACGCAAGCCCACATTGCAGTCTAGCTTGCCTTTTATCCTATCCCAGACTGCTGAAAACCACAGCAGCAAACAGAGAGAAGTTTGCAAGAGATCCTGGAAGGGGAGATTGTACATTCCCTTCTTGAGCCATCCATAGGTAGCCTCTATGGGGGAGTTCACATCTTCCACGGGTCACTTATGGTCCAAGACACTGAACCAGGAATGTGACCGGGCTTCTACCTGACAGTTATCACCAGTTTCAGTAGGGGAAGAGGATAAAAGGAGGAGGAGGAGGAGGAGGAGGAGGAGGAGG